TTTTCTTTCTCGTCGGCTTCAGTGTAATTAATTGAAAAATCTCATTTCATGATGCGCTGGAAAGTTTCACCATCGATTTCTGCCTTAGCCATGAGAAACTAAAGGAAACGTCCAGTTGACTCCACACGCGTCTGTTTGTAGAGTAGTTTTCATATTTGGGGGAAATTTACTGCATCAGGAGAAGAATTCGTTCATTGCAGATATTTTTTTTTTTTTCTGGAGGTTCGTTGTTGCGCCTCCTTGTTCGTCCTGGTCGGTGTTTTGGTTTTTCTTCAGTGTCTTTCTCTCGCCTTGTTAGAATAATACTGTGCCCTCTGCATGACTGTTAAAAGCTCTGTATACAAAGACGACGATGTTAAGTGCCACACAAGCCGAGCAGACCCACGGGGGGAGCGCCCAGGCTCTGACCTTCGACCCTCCGTGGTGCATCACACCTCCCAGTCACACGGTGCTTTTTGTCTGCTCTCTTTCTTCAGCGTTCTCATCTTCTTCTTTTTCTTCCCCTCCGTCGTTGCTCATTTCCACAGTTTTCAGTCTCCGTGTGCACGTGAAGACATCGACGTTGTTGTGGTTGCAAATAGGAGAATAACCATATATCTGTATTTATACCAATTACAACACAGACACGTTGTTCCCTGAACCTGAGAACTGGGGTCCAGACGTGTCGCTGTTAGAATAATACTCGTGAAACTGATCGTGTTCTCCATTCAGTCCTCTGTGACTCTTTGCCTTTGCTTTAATTGCACGTTTTTCACGCAGACGACTGCGCTAGAACAAAAATAAAAACACAGAACTGCAGCAGAAGTCAGAACCATCGTTTCACTTCTCGTCAGTAACTGCTGATTGAAGACTGTTGAATTAGAAGATTTTAATTCAAGCAAGAAGTTATGACATCAATGATTTTATATATATATATATGTGGATTTGGAAAGTTTATTTTGGGGGGTTAGGTCTTTTTATTTCCTCTTTCGCCGCAGCGTCTAATTTCCTTTTCGTTGACGAGCCTCAGACATTCTCAGTGTCGTGGTAAATCCAGGCTCGGGTCCGATTAAATTCTAGAATGATTGAAACAAAGTCGACAGTAGATAAATCTACCTGCACGGATTCTTTGAGAGTCGGACTCTGCCGACGCTTAACGGAAGAAATAAGAGGTTGAAAGTGTTGAGCTGCTTTTAAAGACGTCTGTTACTGGGCCCGACTGCAAACTCATGATTTTTTATTCTATCAGATGATTCTTCTTCTACATTTACTCACATGTCAGAGGCAAGTTTGAGTTTTACAGACTCTTCTGGTCAAATTAAATCCCAGTGGACAAAAATAAAATCTGAGGACAAGTCTGTGACGAGTTGAACCACCGGAGGTCGACAAAATCCACATTGACAGATAATGTTTAGATTTCAGATTAAGGTAAACTCACTGAGCTGCCGACGTGAGACGACACGTGTGTGTGTTGTAATTGATAACATCGTAAAAGTAATACATTTGTAATTAGCTGCTAATGTAGATACATTTCAATTATATTCATGATGATACAACCGGTTTATATAATTATGGTTTGGTCTAAAAACAATCCTGGATAATTTCAGATAAATGATTTGACACTAACAGTTTAAAAGTCAAGAACAGTTTGAAATGAAAGCAGTTTAAACGTTAATATTTTATCTCGATGAATGACTTCGGTTTGTCTCCAGCTGAGATGACAACTCAAAATGTATGAGGATTAATGTTTTCTAAAAAAAAATGAACGATGAAGCAGGAAACGTTTAAATGCTGCAGATGTTAGACAAACTTAGATAAATGTCTTTAACATATAAATAATTTTTCTTCAGGAAACTTTCATGAAAGCATCACACACAGATATTAGATATTAGTTTCTCTWAATGTSCCTGATTTTTTTTTTTCTTTTCATCAAGATCCGTTAGTTGTTTTCTGAAAATGAGTGAAAATGTAAAAATAAATAAATAAATAAGAAAAATCCTGTCTCACGATGTGAAAAGATCATCAGCTAAATTTAACGAGTTCTGTCTCGGCCCATCTCCCATCCTTCCTCTGAGATCATTCGTTTTCGTGAAATCCTGCTGACGAAGAATCAGACGGGCGAAAACGAGGAGGTGATAAAATAAAATAAACATAAAATAAAGTTTCTCCTCTTTGCTCAAGGAAAAAAAACAGTTTTTTTTTATGTCCACTGAAATTTATTTAAAAAACTTTATGACCAAAACTCATTTCAGTAATGACAGTTATTGCACTCCCCCCGATTTCACCTGCACAGACGTGAAGTAAAGACTCGTCTGTCCCACTCGTCCTCACGCTCTCGTCTGTCACACTCTTACTAAATGCACTTGCTTCTACAGCGGTGGGGATGGGACTTGTAATCCGAGGTGCCTGCTGGGACTTGACTCGCCTGTAGATAGTGTTTTTGTTTTTTTTTCCTTTGGGGGAGCCGGGGTGGGGGTGGGGGGGGTTCAGTGAGATCGTTGCGGGCACTGGAAAAAAAACCTTCCTGATATTAGTTGTATTAAGAAAAAAAAGAAGCTTCTGCTGAGTTCTTTGTGCGACCTGTCTGTTTGTGCCTTTTTTGATAGTCTTGATATCCAAGATTTGACGTGCAGCTTTTGTTTAGTCGGGAATCCGTTGTACTCGCAGTATACGCTCTTAAAAATGAACACAATCAAGCCAGGGCTGGGAGGGGCGGGGGGGCGGGGGGGCGGAGGGGCGGGGATCCTTATCTTTCACTTCTGTACATTTTAAAGAGAATCGCTGCCACAGCTGTGTGATTTGTGACTGTATTGAAAAGATGAAAAGCAAACATTTATATTTTTTTTGCATTACCCTTTTTTTTTTTTTTTTTTTTCAGATATTTTTATTGTAAGATGAATGTTATGTTTCTATCGGACACTAATCTTGTCGTCTCCAGTGGAACTGCTTCACTCTGTATGTTTTGATCAGTATAAACCTTTAATCGTGTAGTTGATCACTTCTCAAAGGAAAAAAGAAACCCGGAGATCCTCGGCCTGTGTTTTGAAGGTTTCCGTTCGATCTGCCACAGAAATTGTTTGAATCGATCGGTTTCATTTTATCATGTGAAGGATTCGACTTGAACAAAGCATTTTCTCGGCTGTTATTAAAAACTGACTGCCACTTTGAAAAATCTTTTCTCTTTGCAACTCTGCCAAGACATTTGAATAGACGTTCATTAAAAACACTGAACCTTCTTCGAGTCTGTGACGTGTGTCTTTGTAACTCACCTGATATCATCACACACACAAGTTTCCTGGAGCGACGGAGGAAACGATCGATGTGTTTAATGTTGTTTCATAAAACTGGTTCGTTTCTCCTAAACATGACGTCATGTGACACGTCCTCTCGATGACCCTCACAAACTGGAGGAGGAGAATCTGAAGGTTTAAACAAATCAAAGTTATGTAACTGTTACAGAGCAACAGCGCCCCCTGCAGCCACACACGGTGACTCGCTCTGTTCTTCATGTTGAGGGTTTGACAAGAGAACAGACACCATCGTTCCAACGAGTCCTCTGTGAAGTCGAGCGTTAAACAGCAGAGCCCCTGGAGCTCTGGACGAAACCTCATATGGAAATAATACGATCGTGTTAGAAGAAGAGTTTTCTTCTAATCCTCAGGATGCGTCGCTCTAGAATTTTACTCTCTGCACTTTTAGTTTTAAAACTTTAACTGAAATCTCCTTTGTCTCTTCCAGAAGATTCACTTCACAGAAGTTAACCATCAAAACTAACGAGGAGTTCACTTTTTTTTTTTTTTAAGTCTCAGTTTGAACAAGAAACTACACGTGAATCCTCTCACTTTAATCCAGTGTCCTGTAGGGGGCGCTGTCGTTCAGGCTGAACACATCTGGTGCAGTCTCCTTTGATTCATAAATTAAAGTCATTCACTAGTGGAGCCTGCGAGGTCCAACCTCAACTGGTTCGCTTTATTGTGAAGGGAAATCAGCTTTATTTTGAAGAGGAGTAGTGTATTTGATGTAATGTTATAGAATCACGTGTTTTGTTTCCAGATATTTGAATCTGTTATAACAAGGAAACATGAAAACTCTGGTTTAA